GCGGAGTGCATTTCATCTCATGACCAGGTTCGATGCCCGGTAATGGAAATTCTCACTTGACTATGTCGTTTCAGACCGTCGATTCCACTCCCCATGCTAGCGCGTTCTTTGGGTGGCCTACCTTATACCACTCCTGGCTCCCTCCACTATCTGTTGGGTGTCCCAGATTTCTCCGCGCGCAACCGAATTGGACTCAATCCGACCCGACAACTGGCATCATCGACCCCACACTCTGAGATAAAAAGCATCCACCACTCCCATTATCTCCAATTCCACGATACTTCGGAAATCGTTGGTATTTTAACGGATTGATTCTAACGCTCTGGATGCCAACCTCTTCCATCACCGCTGCTTCGCTAGAAGAATAGAGTCACATCTACTATTATATTGAAGGAAACTTGTCACTCAGGGGCATTACCTCCTGGTGATTGGTGACGCCAAATTATCAAAAATGACTATCACAGATACTTCCTTCCCTAATTATTTTTCGAACGGCATCACCACCATTTTGTTCTCTATATTGCGTATTCCCGTGAGAGTGAATCCTCCTGGAACCACCGAACAATCCACTTACATAAGCCAGCTAGTTTGCACCGAAGAGAAATCATTTTCAGCCGTGACGCTCATTCCTTTTCCATTCCAAATCCGACCGCGCATTCCAGTCAACTCACCCAGAGCGGTCCTCCACAGATCACTACTCACCATCGACTGCGATCCTGGTGCATCCCGATGCAGCAATGACACCCACGCATGTTGACGACACAAAATCAGGGACATTTGAGGAAGAGACTACTGATGGCACGCATGCTCTCTCTTACCACATTTCCAACACTTCTACTATCCTAAAAGCTTCTCTGCGTCTCTACTTCGCATACCTTCTCGGCCTTTACATACCTGTCCCGTCTATTCTTTTCTTAGTGGTTTGCACTAAGGTTCTTAGCAAAATACGTCATTCTTAGTGGTTACGGACTAAGAATCTTTCTCACTGGTTGATGAATAAGATACTTAGCTAAGCAGGGATACTTATTCGTTGATGAATAAGATACTTTGCGGAGCTACCAGTAAGGTTTCAGTCAGTGCAATCTGCCTATCAGAAAGTAGAAACTAAAGGATATATAATGGTATAGAGTGAAAGTTTCCAACGCAACATATAGTAGAATTTCATTTCTTCTCTGGGACAGTGTAGATTATTGACGCCTTTCGACCGTCCCATTCAAGTACTTACGGTACTTGCTGAAGCACATTTTGATGTGCATCCCAGCAGACTCGGCGATACCCTCGTTCCATTTATCTTGAATGATATGATATATTTGGTTCTTATGAACTCAGAGTCGCTATCCATACAAGGATACTACCTTTGTACTCCACTATCCAACCATTTGCGAACTAAAAAGAATAAGACCAAGCGATGACTAAGCATTTGCTGACTAAGTTTTTCCAACTTCGACGGTCTGCCTCCACCGACACCGAAACTCGGGACCCACTCCTTGATCTTGCTCTTGCTGTCCTTGCTGGCAGCAAGTTGCTGCTGCCGTTGTTCCTCACTTGCTGTTTGGGTTGATAATGAATCTTTCAACATAAAAACATCTCCTTTCTTTGCCCCGCCTTGATCTTCGCTATCGTCCAGAACGATGCCAAGGCCTCCCTCTTTCTAGGGAAAGCAGCTCCGAATTGACATTGACTCCTTGAAGCTCGCGAACTGCTTGGGGTCTTGCTGTTGAGATGTGTTAGGGATCACCTCTATGACAGGTCCCCACGAGTTGGATTTCTTTGCCTTAGACCGAGCGGCTGTGTGTGAAGCTGAGGAGGTTTTCTGCACCCATAGCGCACTAATTATGTCCCTTGAGCATCTCCGATTTGCGGAGTCAAGGTAGATTTCCCAGTTCAAGGCTCTAGGTCAGTACACGGCGACGACCTTTTTTAGGTGTCCGACAGTACAAAGACACTGTTTCTGAGACAGTTTCTAGACGAGAATTGCAGATCTCCCTGTCCGAGCGCGTGATGCTCAGATAGGATAAGATTGACAGCAAGGGAGCCTGGGTCGAGAATTGACAAGGCATCCAACGATGAAGAGGAACATCCCCTTAGACTCGCTAAAAGCCCCTGATTTCCGACGACGCGTCTTGGTCGTTAGTATAATCCGCCCAGGTCAACTTGTCTTTAGCAATGGCAGTCTCGACAACCGTGTTGCTACAAGTAGGAGGATCAGCATCAGATATACTTGCCGGAGTTTTCGGGAACAGGCTACCAATGCTGTCGACATATGTGTCGGAAGGACGCATCGCACGTAGGTTGGAGTTGGTCATGCAAATGAGACCGGTAACAAAAAAGAAAGACACTTGAGCCAGATGGCTGCGGTGATATACAAATTTTATGATACGATAGTCGCAATAGCGGTCGTACTGACTGCGTCAACTTTCCACTACGTCACGAAATTCCCTAAGGCTAACGTGAGCCCTTTTATTACTATGTTCTTTGATCCGTTCACTCTGATCTCTTCCACTCTCCCGCTCTCCTCCATCCACAAGTGCTCAGAGTATGGGTATTGCCAACAATATTGGCCAACGCTGAACAGTTGAGACTAAGATCCTCAGTACTCCATTCCAAGACCACCACAATTTTCCGACATATTATACATTGACCGATAGATGTTCTATATTCACAACAATGGAAAGGTTCGAGACGACTCATACAATACTCGAAAGGCTTCCTTCACGGCAAAATATAGCATCCAACAATAACGACGAACCACAGACAGAAGGATCCACATTCGTCTCACCTGCAGACCATCATTCGAACGCGATCCCGAGTCCGTGGAACATTCCTAGCCGTCATCGAAGTATAAGCCACCAGAGCTTGGTACGAAGTGTGCGAATCCGCAGCATCTCACTGCATGAGAAAACGGCATAGTGGGCTCGGTCGGATACGAGTATCATTCATCCCTGTAGGAAATCTGATAGCATCCATATGCCAAATTGCCCTGTTATCACGAATGTTAATGGGAAAGACATCATCGGCTAGCGGTAGTACTCATGGGTATGATACCTGAAAAACCTCGGTAACCGAGGCAACCGTTGCCTCTTCGTTAGTGCCCGCTACTGAGGTCGTAATTCTATCCTGACTACCGAGCAATGGAGATACTTCTGATCCTTCCTACGAAGAATGTATCCAACACTATAACAATGGACAACACAATGACGCACTTCAAAGCCGTTGACAATTATTCCGAGACCAGGGACACCCTAATTGAGACCCAGTTTTCCGTTGTAGTGGTATCATACCACTGTGGTGACTGGTATGTTTGTACAATCCAGTGCTGTAATGTTGAGTTCTTCAGCTGTGGCTAACTATTTACTGCCGCTATACTCGGTGAGGGCGATCCTGTGAACAGGAAAGATTGGCTCTAGTATGAATTACTAATGCTCGTGTTGAGTTAATAGTAGTGTCGGTTGACCGTCAACTCATCATGCGGCTGTGGCAGCACTTGACGCTATTAAACGGTCATGGAATAGCCCTCCTGCGTCTGGGGTCCAAGTGGGTTACTGGGTTGGATACGGTGTCTGCATAAAGCAGCCACTTCGTGGGTTTTCACCGTTGACGGCATTGCCGTGGCGGCAATGGTTTCATGACAAGCGCAGCGAGTGTTTTGCCGCCACTGTTGGTTCCATCGGTGGTTCGGTTGTTTTATGTGATTCCTTCGGGAAGACTGCGTGGCTGCCAGTCGCGCTGAAAAACCGGGTCTGACGTTCAGACCCGATCTCTGTGCTGTGCTGAAACCCGGCGTGAAAAATCGATCACCAGGGCGCGCGCGTTATGAAACGCGTGTCCAAGCGGGTTCTTGTTCTCGTCATCCATCGGAGTCCGATGATCGGACACTGTAGCGTTAGCACTGCTACTTTGAGCCGTTACAGGGAGTTGATATCCTTGAACGGAGAAGGTGTCTGAATGAGCAAATGTTTACAAGGCGCTCGGCCAAATTGGATGATCCAATATTCGTTGAGTAGCACTTTATCCCTCAGGCTATCACACTGTTAATGACCTGAAAACTTGAAATCATTCAGTTTCCGATGTTCCTATGGATCGACACAGTATCGGAAACGCATCGGTTAGGTGTTTCTCTGTACTTTCACGGGAACATGCTGGGGGATCTGTGATCAGTAAATTATCGCATATGAATCAAGACTCCCATGGGTAACTCGCAGATTGCATGTCGTCTAGCTATCCGGAGGCGGTTTCCAAGATTCTCCCAAGCATGAAGGTCATTGGAACGCTACGAGGATTCGAAGGCTCTAAAATAGTCCGACTTAACTGTGAGGAATAACTGTGATTCTCATTGAATGGGGTGAATCGTATTGCAGGCTTGTGTTCGCTTGTTGACCCACGGTAACCCCGAGCTCTTCCGCTGCGGAAGTTCCGCAGGCCTCCAGCACTCAATTTACATGCTACGAGAAGGGAGCAGAATGAACGACTCAGATGACTATAATCGCTCTCTATTCTTCGGACCCAGTGACTTCAGGCAGTCGACAAGTATACAATTTTCGTGTTGTGTTTTTTTGGAGTTGGAGGATCCCTTAGTTGTAGAGAGGAGTCAAAGCATAACAGCCGAAGAATATTATTCGACATACATATTAACGCAATTGGAGAATGCAAGCTTCAATTGAAGTTGGTATATTTCATGCATTGAAGCAAGACTGAGCGAAGGGAACGGCCGAACATCCCTTGCATTGCACCGGATGGCCCGACAGACTACGTACGTAATCCTATGATTCGAGTGAAATTTTCGTACAGTTCACCGCGGACAGCACTCGATTAGCCCAAGACAGACAAGCGCCAGAACATACATTGGTTATTCAAGTCGAGTCTGCTGCATTCAATATTTGACTAGGGGTGCAAATGACTAATTACAGACAGAAAGTGGAAGGCCCCGTACCTGAGAGATACATGGCTAATCGAAGGACCAGCATGGCTGATACATGGCCCCGACCAGCAGATCCCACTTGGGTTTTAAATATGATGGAATCGATCCGATCGTGACCTATCGACGGGGGGCATAATTCCGATCCATGAATTCATCTATCCGGCGTATCTGGAAGGATGCCAGAGGAAAAATAGGCAAACAGATCTGCAGTGAATCACTGCCAGTGGTATTAGCAAGCTAGGATCCATCGTTTTACTCGTGGTGAGCGAAAAATTGGGTGCTGACTGCCCATTGGGAACGCTTGGCAAAAGTTCTGAATGTGCACTCCGATACTAGTTACGAGTACTAGTTGCTAGGTGCTACTGCAGGCTGCACTGTGCAGGCTGCAGTAGCACCGTTACGGTGTGACACCGTAACGGTGCTGAACGGCTGAACGGTGCAGCCTTTGCTCAACCGATCGACGTCGAACACCTTAATCCGCGACAATAGTTGGGGCCTCGGCGGCTCAGCATTTATTGACTGATCACGAATTCAATCCGTCACACGTCGACGTCGGTCACGTCGTGACCGTCGATCTGTCGGATAGTGATTAGTTCCGACCCCGTCTTGTTTCAGTCACTATACTTCATGAACATTCGTAGTAGTACAGATTCTCGAAGCACAGTTCAACTTGGTCCTTCAAGGACCAAGTTGCCGCGAAAAACACTTCGCACTACAAATTCTAGACGACAGGTCACTGAGCCGCTCGAGGCTCCCCACTAGTACCCCTTCATTGTAAGCATCCATGTCTATATACCACTTGCGCCTGTGTGGCGAACAGCTGCCAGATGAGCTCGAGTTACTTCTGCGACCTGAGATCCGTGCAGAGAAACTGTCATGCTATCAGAGAAACTCTACTATCACAAGGATCCCACGGGTCTATCATCCTTATTTCTCACTAAGAAACGAGGACTTGACAGTTGGTAGGCACCCTAATAGCGCTAGACAGCTTCGAATTCAAGATTGCGGGTTATGCTTCTGCTCGCACCTTCCTCCCTTCGCCACCCCACCGTGGCCTGGTAAAGCACACGGCCAGTCATTGGCCTCGCCAGCCTTGATTTCGTGTTCTTTACCGGTTGACCAGAACCTACGTGAACGTATCAAGTTGAATCAGGCCGAAGACTTTGAGTCTCCGGACGCGAAATCTTACTTTGCAGCCGACTCTTGGCTTTTTTCTCTGGGATAGGATCGCAGAGAATCTCCTCAGTAGATTCTTCGCTCGCTTGCGAGTCACTGTCGTTACTGGCTGCCGACTTGCCCTCAATGGGATGGACACCCTTCCCGCAAAGAGCGGGGCGTGTTGGGTGCGACACGTTAGGAACCCTGAGTTCTCTGAAGCCCTGCCCATTAGACGGACTCGACCTGAGGAAGGCCACCTGATGATACCTTATAGATTTGAGCACCGAAGAACGTGTCATAGTGAGACTGCTACTACCCCGCAAGTACTTCAACGCCACTTCCCGGGATTCAAAGTTGAAATAGAGAAATTCCCTATAATAATGCTAAAGATGGACCGTTCACCGAAATGGAGATTACGCAAAGTAACATTCTACCACATTGTCGCAACTATGGCACTCAGTCTCAAGTGAGTGACTCCGAGTGACCGAATTGGATTTACTTCCAATGTTGTCCAGGTTGTTGAGAGGATATCGCGACGGTGCCCTCTACATCACTGGTAGCATCAGTGCTTCGTTGTCCTGAGCTCGCAATCTGGTACGGCCTTCTGATTGATGGTCTTTTGGACTAAATTCGAGGAAAACAGTTCTTGGCACGATTCTCTTGCGACTGTCAGCCCAGAAATAGTAGACTACGTAGAGTATGGCCTCTACTTTCACTTAGTAGAGTACGCTTAGTGAAACTTCATTTTACCCCGAGTACTCGAGCATTACTCAACCTGGTGTTATCAAAGCGGGGCAACATACCGATTTCTGCTCTGAGGCCGAGGTGGCAAGCATCGCAACTTGATCCTCGAGACGTTTGGCACGGGTCGCAGTCGTGTTAGCCCTTCTCGTGTGATTCCAGTCGGTCTGGTGGTGATGATCACCACCCGTTCTTTCTCGGCTAGTCCCTTCAAGGTCCTGCAAAAAAGAGTGCTCCGGAAATCTGGAGCAGTTGACTTACCTCGTTCGGTTCAGTTACCTGGTCCAAGTCATCCCTCGAACTTCCGCAGACTTTACCATTCTGCAGCCACCACTGGTGCGTCTTCTGACCTAGACCTCTAGCAATTTCCTCGACTCCTACCATTTCCCTATCCCTCAAGCACAGACCGTTACTACGGCCACTCGCGAACCTCCCGAGCTTGATTAGCAGTATCCAGCGCTTACAAACCTCGATATAAGCGTTAGATGGTAGCTGTCGCATGATGGCCAACTCCGTTTCGTTCAGTACCACACCAGTTTGCTCGGCCACTTTAGTCAGCCTGGTTCGCAGGTCTTTTTTCTCCGAGGCACGCCCCTTGGGTTTGGGGCCTCCACGCTTAGCCCGCATTAGTTGTTGGCCGTTGGAGGTGACCGAATGGCCTTCGGACATGGTGGATGGACGTCTGTGAACTTGAGCAAGCTGAAGCTCGGTCGTTCCAGCAGTATGACGTGTACTGCAGTGCAGTACGTGTAGTGCAGACGTGTTGCTGCAGTGACACCCATGATGCGACTCATGTCAACGCAACTCGTGATAACTGGAGATAACTGATGGAGCAGCTTCAGATGATCTATGCATTACGAGCATGTAAACCTCAGAAATGCGACGCAACATCACCGACGTACATAGACCGCTTAAGAGTCGCAGATCAACGCCACACGCCTCATAGCAAGATGTGTATACCATTACTTAATCATGTGCTTCTCAGGAAGCGAAAATAGCAAAAAGTGGTGCACCGTATCCAAAGATCCAGTTATATTCCTCAAAGGTTAGCCGGACTCGGCCGTGCTACATCACGGTTAGAGGCACGGAACCCTATTCCACGGTGGCCTTCATACTCGACTCGAGTAACGTGCAAAATAATGAGCGTAAGTGCCGCTAAGGCGAAATAAAGCCTAGAAATAGGAAAGCCGTAGCACTAGACTCTAGAGACTAGACTCATGGCTTTTGTAGGAGCAAAATGCTCTGAGCACTCAGAGACCGTCAATATGACGTACTTGAAGTACTCAGTCATCAGACTCTGACGTGCTATAATCCCCATCGGACCTGAGCATTGGATTTAATGTTGTTAGGATCCAACTAAGTGCTACGTGGATCAGAACAGCCATAATGGCGCCCAATGATTAAGCGAAGAAATGTAATTTCTCGTTGATTTAACCTACTCGTCTTCGTCGAGATCGACCTCTTCCACCTCGTCGTCACCAACCATGAAACCCTCAAGCTCCCGGGGGATATGGTCGTCCTCTGCGGACCTTGGTCTCTTCTGCTTCCTCGATGGTATGCTCGTGCTGGCTCCACCATCATCAACGGTAAGTTCACCACGGCCGATTACTTCGCCCTCCTTGCTGGTAGTATAATGGCCTAAGGGGTTGACCTGAAATGAAGTCTCATGGTCATTGAGCATTTAGTAACTGAGTATACACGCATGGGAGTCTCATGCGAACTAGGAATCCCTGAGACCAGCTGAGCTTACATTCTTCCCCTTCTTAGATATACCATCACCAACCTTTGTTTCTGGCTTCGCGGCTGCTGGAGGGTGATCGACGGCCTTCTTGCTCGATGCTCTAGCTCGCTTCTTAGCCGACAGATTCATATCGACAACTGGTCCCATCTTCGTTACATCAAGACTGGCCTTCAACGGAGTGACCTTAGTTCTGTTACCCTCTCCTACAGATCGCCGAGCAGCCTTCACTTCTACGTTAGATAGATTGAGCTTTCGGTTGGCCTTATTTTTGACCACGCTGGACTTCCCGTCACGACCTTCTACCGTTTTGCGTTTTCTATCAGAGCTTCTTGAGGTGGCGGCAGATCTGTCAGATATCTTGCGCTTGACAGAGTTCTTCCTTCGTGTAGGGTATGCTGGGGTAGAAACAGCACTGGTGTCCGAATCGCTAGCGTCTCTGCCACAACTTGGGCGTAGAGTGCGACACACCCAGATCAGGTCCCCCTTGTACAGCTTCATGTTGGCGACCACTCGAATGTAACTCGAACGGTTAAGATCGACCTCAATTCGTACCGGACTCTCACTGAAGGCACGTGTCATGTGGCCAGCAAAGCTGTAGTCAGTTTTTGTCTTGAATAATAGGTGACCCTCGAAGTCTTCGCTGGTTCCCGCCAGGAACAGTTGGCCACACTCGAACTCGTCAACACGTTCTCGCTTCATCGGAGTCCCCGGGGTGGATATATCTTCCGAAGAACCTCCTGGACTGCTCTCGTGACTCTTGTCGTTCGCAGTGGTCTTACCGGTGTCCTGCAGACCTCCAAGAGATTCAGTAGCTCGGACCCAGTCTGGCTCACTGCTCTTGGTAGGCATAAAGAACTTCACTTCAACGATGTTCCACGAGTCTGGCGGAAATCCCTCGCGTGTTTTGAAGCTCGTTACTCTCCGCGGCTCGCCAGAAGGACGTTCAGAAGCAGTAGGTTCGATGGCAACGGGTAGAGGGTTGCAGACTTCAGCAATCTGCAGACCGCACTTGGCTGCAATCAGCTCTACGACACTGGAGGTCCGAGTGCAACAGTGAGTGATACCGTCAAACCTGAAATATACAAGCGATCTGTCTCTGCCGGCAGTATTGTATCCGCGAGTTTACCTAAATATCTCCTGTCCGACTTCGAATGTCCCCCTGCACTGCAGCCAAGTGCCCTGGCCACGTTTTCCGCACTCGACATTCTGCCTGAACATATCAATGGTGCCGGTACGGACAGAATCATCAGTGGTGATGTTTCTGAGCTTCGTATTCACCTAAATCGACATACAGTTAAGAAGTCTGCTGAGGAGGCTGAAGCTCCCCTCAGAGAGTTACAGCTTCCAGAGGATCCTCTCGCCACACTGGAAAATGATACTCCGTAACGTAGTTTATTGGAGCCTGGGAAAACGCCGGAAGAAGATATCGGTGATGAAAATAGTGCTGTCCTCACGATGATTCTGCTAACATCCAGAACGTTGCATTCGAAGTTGGCCTCCTCCTCGGCAGTCATTTCACGATCTTCACAGAGCCGAATCTGCTGACGCTTAGCTCCCAGCACGTAGCTGAGAGCTTCGCTAACCGGGCGAATGGGCATCTTCTGGCACGGCGTGAAATTCCTGTCCCGGATACCTTTAGGCGGGAGCACGCTGGGATCAAGGCAGGGAGTAAAACCTACCTTGGCGGATGCTAGCGAAAAGTTTGTCGTGTAGCTGCGGGTAGTCGGCTAAGCTACTCAGCTTCATAGGCAGGACAACTCTGGCACCGATGCAACCGATGGCTGACAGGATGGAATTGCAATTGCAACCTGAAGTCGGAGCAGCGAGTCGCTACACACAGCTCGTAATCAAGCTCCTAATGTTGCTTACTTCCCGGAGCCATAATTATGGCTGTTCCATCCTTCTGCAGACCTGCTGTAGTGAACAGATCCGTGAGAGTTTCAACCGAGAGATCGGAGGTTCTCTTAGACAACGCATCAACTTTCTCGGCCACGATCACCGCTTTTTGCTCATCAGCACGGTAGTAGCGTTCTCTGAAAGCTCGCCTAATGCTGCTCTCGATAGGTTTCCTAGTCCCTTCTGGGGGCTTTACAGTGCGCTCGATCACGAAGATGGTCTCCTGCATAAGTCCGGGTAGCTTGATCACCCGGGATGACGGGACAGATGACCGACGTGAGCCTGTGGAAGCTCTACTCTTGCGCTTGTGCTTGGCCTCGCGCTCTCGGCAGGCCGTTTCATACTGTTCCTTCAGGGAGAGCTCGACGGAACCAATATTCCAGTATGGCCGACGTCTGTAAACCACTCGTTTGCCAAGCGAGACCTCGTCATCCTCTTCCGAGGCGGAGTCGAGACCAACAGCATTTCCCGCGTCGTCGGCATCAGATGATGGAGTTGGAGAGGGAGGAGCACTACCCACCACAACTTCAGAATTAGATGATACAACCGGAATCTCATTCTCGCGCACCTTCTTCGAAGCAAAGGACCCAAGTATATTGATGCCGCTCGACATCTGGAGGCCACCGCCTTGCTCTGACATCTGCACGCGGAGAAGAATAGTAGTCTTCTGCGGGTTAGCAGCGCCCGTTTGTTCAAGAACTTCACGAACGAAATACTCCACCATCTCCGACTCGTTCCTATCGCGGCACGGGATTGTGCACCGAGCATGTTCGGGACCATTGCCGAAGCGGTCGTCGACTAGGTCGATATAGATGACATCAGGTGGCCTTCCTTGTAGCACGGCTCTCATGAACGGTGCGGCCTTCTGTACCCAGCCGCCGCTCAGTAACGTCATAGGCGTGCTAGCAGAGCTCGCTTGTAGAGAGACATTCGTAGACGCTGTAGGGCCTTCGTTGTGTGTTGCGTTAGAACCGGTGTAGTCCAAGATCAACACTTTGGTGTCAAGCATCTCATTTGACGCGTCCGTGAGATCACTCTCGACTTGGGACTTGTAGGCCATACACTTCTTCTGACTCTCGCGTAAAGCCTCGGTGGCTAACCTGACGGCTTGCTTCTGTATGAGAGCAAACCTACTGAGATTGAGATTGGTTTGCTCCAAGCGCATCTTCTCCAGCTCCTTGTCCGCTGCCTGACGCTGCCGCTCGGCTTCCTCGATCTTGGCCATTTTGATTTTCCGCTGAGCATCTTCCTCTTCTTCTTGAAGTTTCTCCTTTTTACGCTGCTCTTCATCTTTCAAAGTAGCTATAGCCCTCATGACAGTTTTTGGCGCCATCATCACCTCGCTAGGATTCAGCCCTTCAAAGGTTGGACTGTTACAAGCATCGCACTGGAGGCCTTCGGCGAAAGAAGGAGCGAAAGTACTGAAGACTACATCGACAGCCGACGCTCTAGAAAAGTAAGAGCGATGAAGACTGATGGCACTCGCAGAGGGAATTTTCTCCACGGCCTCGTAGTAAGACGGGTGAGCTTTGAAGATGTACCAGACCACGACAGTGAACTTCATTTGAAGGACATCTCGGCGGTTAACCATCTTCTGTTGGCGGCTACTCCTTGTAGAGCTGGACTTTGCGATGGCCTCCACTAGCACGCTCAGCATCTCTTCCCTCAGGCTGTCATGATCGTAGGGCCTTCCGTCATCATCCCTCAAAAGGGACTCTTCTCCTATCATACGATGGCCATCCATTCCCGCAGGGTTTCCCGGCTCGAAGAAGCTGTTAACGTAGGTTATCATACCGACACCTTTCTGGTTCAAGTCAAACTCCTTGCTATTGAGACTCCTGAACCAGTTGTGGCGGAAAATCACACCCAGAACAGGCCATGAGAAAGAGGTCGATAGCAAATTGCTCTTCTTCTCGAATAGCTTGAGCCGCGATTCGTGCACGAGGATCTCGTCCAGAGCTCGCCTGCTAACGTGTCCCTTCGATGGATCTAGTATGGCCTTCAGATACTGAATGTTAGTCTTGTCAACGCCGAAGTTACCGGTGAGACGCTTGAACGTCTCTAGGAGACTAGTGACGTTGCGTTGCTCTCTCGGCAGCTTATCGAAGATCTCCACGAAGCCATTCAGCGTCTGGGCAGCCGTCTTTGGTATCACATTAGCCTCTCTTGAACCGCTGGCCATCGACTGAGCCAGGAGGACCAAATCGAAAGCATCCTTCGGTTTCAGGCCTCGTAGGCTTTTGGGAGCATCAAACCTCGAGCCGTTCCGAAGGCGTGCTGGATAACTCGATGATACCAGTTTGATGGCCTTCTCGATGTCGCATACCTCTTCACGACTCAGCCCGTGATCAGTTTCCCTTAGTTGCTCCCATGCTTCGATCATGGAGAGAATAAGCTTGGAAATGTGGAGCCCGGACACCAAGTCAAGTGGGAAGTCGTTGCATGCGTTGTTGGTTTGCACGGAGGTGGCCTTCAGGAGTAAGTCAAAATCAATATCCCAAATACCGCTGCAGCCACCAGACTTGTGTAGCTTCATGGATACGGCTCTGTTCAAGACTGCGCTTTTGCTGGCCTCCGCCGTGGGATCAACGATATCCTTGAGATGGCCGACGATACCAGTGCAATCCGGCAGAGCTTTGCATTGGTCCACGGAGTCGACTCTCTGAAGATGGCCGACAGATATCTTCCATTTCTCAAGCCAGGCCTTCCGAGCGAAAGCGTCCACGGAGAATATGAACCTTGGTTTCTCGCTCTCGTCAACTCTATCCAACTCTTCATCTTCGTCACGCAGTTCAGCCCCTTCCTGCCCCACTGCGGTCGAGGCAGCTTCGATATCTGCCGTACTACTCAGAGCACCAAGGTCACTAACCTGGCCCGTCGTTGAAGGCAGCGTTGTTGCATCGCAGCTATAGTTAGTATTCATATTTTTTGAGTCTCTCACGCAGGTATCTAAGGCGAAACAAAATGTCCCCGACCCGAAAACGATCGATCAAGCGATTACAGCAGTAGTACACCCTATTCTAACCATAGTTGTATTACCTTCTTGCACCTGTGAATCCTCCCGTACTTGCATCAAATTGAAGCTCCGTATCGGAGTGTGTGGTTCTTCCGCGGGTGGCGGGTTGTTTGGGTTATCGGCCATGAGTTAAGATTAGTCGGGGGGATAACAACAAGTTGTTCACCTACGAACTAGCGTACGGAAGAACCCTACTTTGGTTAGCGGAAGCAGCAAAACGCTAGCCGTTTCGCCCAAAAGCTCGCGAAGGAGTAGCTGCAGAATCTCAACCTGTAGTACAGGTCTTGCACTTGCTAATACCCTGCTGGAGTCCATGTATACACTAATGGCGGGGGTCTATTTTGGCTCCCGCCATTAGTGTATACATGACCTTTCTGAACTGTTTTCCTCGTACGTACCGGGTACCTGTTCATTAGCGTTTCGTTGGAAATTCTGGTCGGGAATATGT